GTAGGGACTGGGTACAGCAGATAGGGCTCAAACTAGGTTCCCTCCCTTCAGGGTTTCTATCAAGAGCTACCATCCACACAACTGCCAGAATTATCTTCATCAAATCAGATCTGATCAAGTCACTTTGCTTACGAGATTCCAATAGCTCACAGTGCACTTCCCAGTTTGGCTTCCCCTTAACGTTCCAGCCTTATCTACAAGTAACCTCCCCAGGCTTTAGTGACACTGGAAAACTCACTGCTCTTAAAATAATAGTAGCTAATAATTATGGAGCGCCATCTATAAGCAACTCTGTAAACTAGTCCATATGATTGATCTCAGTCATCACAACCACCCTATTACAAAGATCTTACCATATCACCACATAAGCTTCAAGGCTCTGCAGTCAGAAAGACGCCTTTCAAAGTACACAGCCCTATGTTGTATAAAATTTACAAAAATTAATATTTTGTATTCTTTATCTTACATAGGTCCCACCATATCATATAAGCTTCAGGGTGCACAAAACCTAGTCTGCCCTTGATTATTATTATTCCCATTTTACTGAGACTCAGAGAGGTTAAATAACTTGCCAAAGTACTCACCACAAGGAAGTGGCAGAAATCAAACTTGAACCTAGGTCTGTCTTCAGAACCTAAGAGTTTAACTACAGTACTAAAGCTGTGCTTCTGTTCGTACGGTTCCCATTGCCTGCAATGGCCATTTCTCTTCTTCCTATTTTCCTAAGTAGATTCCCAGGAGGCTCCTTCCTATTTATGCTCCAAAGCCCAACTAAAATGTTATCTCTTCTGCACATCTTTCTTTGACCCTTCCTGGAAAAATGAGATATCCTTTAGATATCCCTGTATTTTATTTTAAGTTTATTTATTTTGACACAGAGAGAGAGAGACAGAGTGCAAGTGGGGAGGGGCAGAGAGAGAGGCAGACAGAGATTCCCAAGCAGACTCCACACTGTCAGCACAGAGCCCCGACGTGGGGCTCAAACCCACAAATTGTGAGATTGTGACCTGGGCCGAAATCAAGAGTCACTCAACCAACTGAGCCACCCAGGCGCCCCTAGATATCCCTGTATATTGAACATCTACTATATCTATATCTGTATCTATATCTATATCTATATACATATATATATATATATGATATAATCAAAATAATATGCTTTTTGGAGTCAAACTGACCTATGTGCAAATTACGCCTCTGCTATATATTTGTGGTACAATCTAAGGCAAAATATTTAATCTCTCAAACCCTCTGGAGGAAGTTACTCTAAACACACTGACTCATTTAAACATCTAACCATTCATATATCCATTCAAGAAATACTTAATGAGGGCCTACCATATGCCAGGCACAGAGCATACAACTAGGACACAGAAAACAGAGGCACCGTCCCTGCCCTCACAGAGCTTACAGTCTACCGGAGGATACAGATAAGTGAACAGATGATTAAAATGCAGAGTGAGAAGAGTATTGATTAAGACCGAGGCAGGGGAGAGAAGAGTTTACGGGGAAAGCATCATAACCTCACCCAGACTTTAGGGGTCAGGTAAGGACAGTGGAGACGAACAGCAATTCAGTGGCAAGTCTCTTAAAAATAAAACAGAGCAAATATTCAAGACAGATACCTCAAGTAATTTCAATTTAATAAAATACTTCCACCCCACCCACGCCATAATCACACGTCCCTCATTTCTTAAGCATTTGAAAACTCCTCTGAATGTCAGGGAGGGAAAACTGATTTTTTTTACAAGTGGGTTAATAAGAAAATGAAACCTTGTGCAGTTTCTACTGGCAGCAGAAACCTCAAGACCAACAGAAGAGGCCAAATAAATAAAAATAAAATCTGATTGTTCTTCAGGATTCTGTCACAACCATAAGAATTCCTTAACATTTGTTCTTGTTTTCTGTGTTAAAGCACTTAATGACAGAACAAGGAAATCATTTTTACATTTTTCTGGGGGCTGAACTGCTGCATAAAGTGAGAGCAATTGCAGCTTTCAAAAGAGATGCTAATTGCAGCTTCTAAAATATTAGACTCTCTCTAAACACCCGTCACCCTCATCCCCTAGGAGTTTCTGGGTCTTTCTTAAAGGTGCTGGGAGGATACTGCCTTACAGACTGCATTTCCTACCCAAGGACTTAAAAACATTTCTGTTGAAAGATTTATTCCTAGTTCTTCAAGGGTCATATGCCTCACAACTTAGGAAGTGCTGGAAAGAAGGACCATCTTATTTAGACAAGAAACCCACAATTAGAAAAGCTGTACTGGAGTGATAAAGGAAAACAACTTACAACCTCTTTCTTTATTCCTATAAAATGGGAATTTCCATCTTAATTTAGACTTTGTACCAGCAAACCAGCAGGGGTAGGACCTGGAGCCTCCCTTCCCACAGAGGTTTTCTAGGCAAAGATAAAGGAGGGGAAGTCAGCTCTAAGAGACCTGCTACTTCTTACTTCCTGGGAGGGTGAGAGGGAGGAAAATGTTGTCATGCTGGCAATTCTATTTATAAATGCTTCTCTTTACAATGAGATGACAAATTTAAGAGAGAGAAGAGGAGAACGGCAGCAGCTGCCCACACAGACTATTACTTTAAATTTAATTATCAGAAAACCACTCTCTTCAGGCCAGGAGAGGGATGAGGAGAAGGAGGAAAGGTGAAGACAAATATCAAAATATGGAATGAAACCAAAAGCTAAGTTATATAAATATGGGAGGGAAGGGCGATCACCAATCATCTAAAGACTATCCCCATGCTTCAACTAGCCAAGAGGAAAACTGAGATCCAGAAAAAGTAGAATGTTATTCTTGCCAAGCTCCCAATGCTTCTGGTATTCAGCTACAAATGTAGATTACACTAAATCTTCAGCTATGAAATCGGCAAGAGAGCTATATAATTATCTATACATCTATATGTGTACCACTTTTTCTGAAAATGAAGAGATCTGTATTCTGGTCTAACAATGAGGTTGACCCACAATCAGTATATGAAAACACTCACAACTCAATTCCTGCTGGGAAGCACACGACTTGCATATCTTGTTATGAAAAGGTAAATACCTATTATTTTCCATCTAACTCCCTAGTTACTAAGATTTAAGTTTTTACTGATACAACTATACCCATAATATCATGAGATCAGATTCAGATTAAGTGGTGGAGTGGGCTGGCACTATATAGGAATTTAAAACAATGTTGAAAAACATTGAGAATAAAATCATATCTGGAAAATTATACAGTTGACCCTTGAACAATGCATGGGTTAGGGGTGTTGGCCCCCGCACAGTCAAAACCTGCACAGAACTTTGATTCCCCCCAAAACTTAACTACTAATACCCAACTGTTGACCACAAGCCTTAGCAATCACATCAACAGTCAATTAATAAATTATATGTATTAATACTGTATTCTTACAATAAAGTAAACTAAAGAAAAGGAAATGTTGGGGCGCCTGGGTGGCTCAGTTGGTTAAGTATCTGACTCTTGATTTTGGATCAGGTCATGATCTCATGGTTCATGAATTTGAGCCCTGAGTCGGGCTCTGAGATGACAGTGAGGAGCGTGCTTGGGATTTTCTCTCTCTCTCTCTTTATTCCTATAAAAGGAATATTTATTCTCTCTCTCTCTGTCCTTTCCCCACTCACACACACGTGTGTGCTCTCTCTCTCTCTCTCAAAATAAATGTTTTTTTTTTTTAAAAGAAAATGTTATTTAGAAAATCATGAGGAAGAGAAAACACACATATATTACTGCATTGTATTTAGTGAAAGAAATCTGTGTGTTAGGGGACCCATGCAGTTCAAATCTGTTGCTCAAGGGTCAACGATATGTGCTAGAAAGGACTGTGTGTGCATAGAAGAGAAAAAAAAAAAAAAGGCCTCCTTGAAAAGAGGCCTGAGGTTGAGACAGGAGTGGTAACGTATCCAACCAACACACACACACACACACACACACACACACACACACACACGTGCACTGTGTCCTCATGTTTGAAAAGTAGTCCCCTAAAAAAAAAAAAGAAAAGTGGTTCCCTAAGCTACCATCTAAGGGAAGTGGGTCTCATTAATTATTCCATTGGGTTCCTGTTTCCCAAGAAAGGCACACTGCTACCAGCACCTTTCGTCCCCTCTGCTCCCCTGCAGAAATCACTCCCTGGGTAACGGCTGAGGAAATGTTGGTAGAACAGCAGGCATGAAGGAGTCCCAGGCCCCAGACTACCCAGGACATTGGAGTTTGCTTATGCCCTGACTGGACTCTGTGTTGAACTCTGAGTTGCACTTTGATCTGTGAGGTTGATTTCTCCTTCCTATTTTGTCCTTGTTCTCTCAAATCAACACTCACATTCCCATAGATATGAATTCCCCTTGAGGCAATCAAAATATGTGATTAAAGTGACTCACAGCAGGGTGTGAACCAACAGATTTTACCTAACAGGGATTTCCAGTTTAAAGGGGGACTTGGTAACCTCAATACAGAGTTCCCAGGTAAAATGTGTTTGATGATCTTTCATCCTGTCTCTAGAAGACTAATAGCTAATTTTAAACATCTTCCTGATACTCTGCCTTGCCCTTCCTTACATCCCAGATACCTACTCATGGGCCCTCCTTATAAACACCTTCCCATTTGCCATTTTGTTAATTCTGGGTCAGTTCCCTGAAGGAGGGGACATATTCCAGAGCCTAATGGTTAGCTCTGAGAAGCTACTGTTCATTCAGCACCTTCCACACTTAAATACTCTGAAATTCATTCATTGATATAAGATGTGGAAAAGCGAAGCTTCCCAATTCCACTGCAACCAAAGCAAATACCATCTATCGTATGAATCAGCTCCCGGCTTTGCACCAGATATTCAGAGTTGATTCGAAAACTTAACTGAAAAGTAAGGTAAGTCAATGGTGTCCATGATGAAGAGAATGAAAGCGATTTCCCTCTGAAGAGGGAAGGAGGAGGAGGGGAAGAAAAAGAAGGAAGGAAGAAACCCCAGTTGAAACTTGGCATTTACTTGAAGAGGAGCCAGCCGAATGTACGTGCATAGACAGGTTCACAGCACAGAGGGAAGGCATCGCTCAGAAGGCTTCCTTGGCGCTATTAAATTTCTTTGGCGGCAGCCTCGGCTGGGGAGGCAAGGCACAAAAGTTGCGTTCAGGGCTCTGAGGACCAGGAGGTGGTGTCTGCGAACTTACGGGGATTGAACGGCTCAGGAATCTCGCTGAGGAAGAAGAGAGGCCGGGGTAGGCGGGCCGAAGAACGGGGCTGTGCTCCTCCGCTTTGACGGCGCCGTGGGGGCTCGGCTGGCTGCTCACGGTGCTCCCGCTGGTGCTGTTGCTTCTGCTGTACTGATTGTTGTTGAGCTCTGGGTAATTTCTGGCAGACGGATGGGAGCTGCCATTCAAGAGGCTGGTGAACGGGCTGGCTACGAAACCCGCCTTAGAGGACGAGGAGGCCTTTTTGTTCTCTGGCTCCTCTGTTGCAGCGTTCAAGTTCCCTAGAGAACTGGCTAGCCGGGAGTTTATGGAAAAGCTGAATGGAAAACACAGGTGGGGAGGGGGGAGGACATAGACAACGATGTACGCTCATGCAGAGTTCGTGTTTCTAAAATACACAGGACAAGAGGGGAATGGGATGCAGACAGCTCTGATCAAGGCAAATGGGGACAGAATGGCGTCTTTATCGTCTTGGTGATATTACAACATATGGCCATTAGTGATACACGTTAACTTCCTGTCTAAGCAGTTCACTGCGACCCAAGAAGCTGGCTAAACCACTCTGACCAGATGTCTTGAGATAGGACATCTGGGGCTCTATGTGTCCTGAGGTAGGGAGTAAGTGAAAGGGGCTATATGAGAGTAAAAGGTAGACTGAAGTGTAAGATTTAACCTACACAGATTCATTCAAATGTCCCTACCCATTTTAGTTCTGCCCATACACATCAAAGGAGAAATGATGATACCACATATCATTAGTAGGTTCCACTGAACTCCAATTTCTGGATCACATTAGGCAAGCTGGAGCTCCACTATAGAAAGGGATGCCATACAGCACTGCCTCCACATGACCCTGTCCCTCAGGATGGGAGACAGAACAGAAGCCTTCTCTGATTTCTCCCCTTCTCCCTGATCCCTTCCTCGGACAAACTTCAGCCAAACTCATTGTCTGCTACAGATTTCCTTTACCCCCCCACCAGCATCTGAGAAGAGGAAGAGAAAAATTACCTTCTTACACTGGCACCTGAGGACAAAGAACTTCTGTTTATCCTCTTGGCCGTCGCTGAGGGGGACAGAGCCACTTTTGAGGTCTTCAAAGTAGATGCAGATCCTTGTGGGGAAGAAGTCAATCTTTGTGGAGAAAAATGGGCAAAAAGTCACCTGAAAGCTGTGTTATCTTAACATTCAGCAATCAACTAAGACAAGATAAATTCATAACATTAAAGGCATCGTGGCAGGTCATGGTAACAGTGATAGCAGCAGCAGTCAACACTGACAGCGCACTTGCTCCGAGTCAAAAGCTCTTCTAAGAACCTTACAGACATTAGCTCATATTCACAATCCTATGAGGTAGCTACGATTGCAATCCCCACTTTGCAGGTGAGGAAACCGAGGCAAAAAGGAAAAGTCACCCAAAGCCAGTGGGCAAGTGACAGAGCTGGTATTCAGATCTAGGATCCAAAGTCCTGTCCTTAACCATGATCTTGCCATGCTTGGTCACTTCCCTTCTTTGATGGAGGCAGTCATTCCTCACATGTCCTTAGGCTACATGTGTGTGTGATCGTGTGTGTGTGTGTGTGTGTGTGTGTGTGTGTGTGTATGTATTTGTATATGTATATATTTTTTATTTCTTTGTATATTAAATCTGTCTTCTTCTTTCCTCTCTCCAACTGCCCTAGGTGAGGCCACTACTATTCCTTACTCTTGACTACTAGTAACATCTTTTAATCTTATTCATTAAAATTCAAATTCTGAATAGCCTCAGGTAGAATCTAAAATATTTAATTATGCCACTCACTGTTTAAACCATTTAATTTTTACTTGGTGCCCAGAAAGCCTGATCTCCTTGGCTTTACTTATGAAAGCCTCCAAAATCTGCCATTAGCCTTTGCAAGCAGGTCCTTTCTATCCATGCTTTCTCATTAGACAACTCTAGTCCAGCTATACAAAATGCTCGGAATTCCCTGAATGGACTGTATTCACAGCTTCGTCCAGCCTGCACGTGCTGTTTTTCCTGCCAGGGCATCTTCTCCTCTCCTTACCTCCCCTCTGCTTCCAATCTTCCACCTCCGTCTGCCTCATTCCAATTGGTTACCCTTTGAAGGCCCAATCAGTTGGAACCCTATACGGCAAGCCTTCACTGAATTCCCAGGCGGGGTAAGCATCCTGTTTCATCATATATTCTCATAGTAAATCATAGCCCTTATACCATATTCCACTGTCTGATATCTGTCTATTCCCCTTGATATAAGCTCTACTGGGGGCAAATGACTGTCTCCCACTTCAATTCCCAGTGGCTAGTACAGTGCCAGACTCAGAGAGAATATTCAGTAAATGTCTGCTGAGTGGACAGAGAGGGAAAATTGACCCAAACCTGGACTACTAGGGCCCAGCCACAGTTTTTAATACCAAACCTGTTTTATCCTGAGCAAACCATTTAATGTACCTGGACCTAATGTATCTGTTCTAGAAAAGATTATTTACTTGTAGACTCTCGCCTTCATCCTCCTCCCCCCAAACAACAGCTTAAGTACATGGTTTGCCTCTAGAACAAAGATGGGGAAAGTGGTACAAGGAAGCAGCTCAAGCTTCTGGAGAAGTCTGATCCCTCTCAGAACTGCTTGCACAAAACAGTCCTAAAACCGAGGGCTGAATGAGAACCAGAGGTGAGGGGTGAGTTGGATTTTTACCCCTATCTCATTAACAGTTTTGGCAAACATGTCTATGGCCCCCATCAAGCTCTACACTGCACCCTGGTACCACTGGTACCCAGGAACCACCCTGGGATGCTTTGGGGGACATTTTTGCAGGGAAAAACACTAATGTTTCCTCTTCAAATAGAGGACGGGGAAGGAAATAAAACTAGAAAATAAAGGAGAACAAACACATGTAAAAACTAGGGGCAAAGAGAACTGACAGAAATATTAAAAACTCAAAGGCAAAATCTATCACTGGATTGAAAGGCATGTTGCAGAGCAAGGGTAATTTAGAGACCCCACAACGTGCTGGAAGCACAGACTATGTTAACATCACAACGACAGCCACACGGCCCTGTGCGCACCTCAAGAAAACAAAAATCCTCTTCATGGTGAGCATTAAAAGTAAGGTGGGTTGTAACAATCTGGAACACAAAGGAAGGAACTCAAAAGGGAAGAGCTGTGCGCGATTTGTTTAAGGGTTGGGAAATGTATCTAAAGGGCAGTGTTTATTTACAAGCTACTAGAAATTCACCTCATTCACAGTACCTGAAAGGCTGGGGCACTGCTCTTGGGTGCCCTTTCGTATCATCCAACCTACGGAAATCAAAGACAAATGCTCACGCACTGCCAGGTTCGCACGTTTAAGCAAAGACCAAAAGGCAGATCATATGGAGTCAAACCAGTACAAATATTACATTGGCAAAAGGGAGAAACCTCCCAAATGGATATTAGTACTCATTCCGTTTTTAAAGTAAATCCTACAACCAGCAGGAAACCAATTTTAGTCATTTTGTTTCATCTTGACTTTCATTTACAGCAAATTGCTTTAAATCAGAAGGTGGTGTTGCATCCACTTAGGGTAAAAAATATTTGGGGCGCCTGGGTGGCTCAGTTGGTTAAGTGTCCGACTTCGGCTCAGGTCATGATCTCACAATCTGTGAGTTCGAGCCCCGCGTCGGGCTCTGTGCTGACAGCTCAGAGCCTGGAGCCCATTTCAGATTCTGTGTCTCCCTCTCTCTCTGCCCCTCCCCTGTTCATGCTCTGTCTCTCTCTGTCTCAAAAATAAATAAACGTTAAAAAAAAATTTTTTTTTTAATTTTTGATTGATGACACCATGATGCTGTTAGAAAAAAAACTGAATTCCAAAAAATGAAACAAAAATTCTGAGAATTAAAAAAGAAAATAGAAAAATCATATCAGGATAGCCTTGTAAATTTTGGGTAGTGGAGAGTTTCTCACTCTTTTGCCTACTTATGTGCCAAGTTATGTGCCAATTTATCCCTCTCTCCCCCTTAAGATTTCTTAAGAATCAAATATAAATCTGATTGAAATTAATTTTAAGCGATATAAAGCCATTTCTTAAGAGTTTCAAGGGGGGAGATGGTGAGTAAAAGAGATTAGAAATCTTGAAGTACTTTGCGCTGACTTAGGTGATATTCATAGCAAGCAGAGCACACTCTGAACAGTACTGGATTTGAAGATCAGCTCCAATCCAAATCCATCCCACTGGGGAGGGGCTGACGTTCTCTAACCTCAAGCAACCAACCCAAATGTGGGTAATGATGCATATCTTTTGTGTTAATTCAGTTAATCCTCATCTCCAAACTAAGTACCTAATGTGGCTCCTGACAGTAGTAGCTGCTCAGTGAATGGTACATCTCTTCAACTTTCTAGTGGTAGTTGGTGGTTATTACCAAGACCAGGCTTGCTATCCCATCTTCTCATGTTACTATGGCAAACGATTACCTTGACTTGAGCTATATACACCTTCATTTCTCAGGTCAGGGCACCAGTGCTCAGAGCATAGGTAATGATGTGCTCAGACCTAATCTGACTTGTGTTATAATCCTCCCAAATAACACATGAAAATTAAATTCCCTGTGAGTCTGTTTGACATGTATCCTGCTGGCAAAACACCCCTCTTGTTGTGCATGCCTCTCACTTAAAAGGCAAAGAAAAGTAGCCACTTCTCATTATAATCATTTGTGAACTTGTCACCCCAGTAAAGAATCTGGACGATATTCACAGATTTTTGCACCTACATTGATCCTGGAGACTTTCTTCTTTCAGTAATCTGAACCATTAGCAGGATCCAAATGTTGGGATCACAAGTCAAGTTCCATCACTTGATTCTGATTAGTAATTTTAGACTTTAAGCTCAGGATGGTTAAAGTCTAACCATGGATGGTTATTAACAGGCACAGGTACAGACACAGGTAATAATTGCTTGTTCAATTCTCAAATAGAGAACATAAAGCTAAGGTGTTAGGATATACCAAAGCTTGGCATTCAGTACTTTTCTACACATTCTAGATTCAAAACAAAAGCCTCAGCACACCTGTGAGAATAGGACACGACAAGATAGGACACCCACTCGTGGAGGGAGAGTAGAATTCCAAATGGAATTTAGAGCACGGTCCCAGAGACACCTCACTGCACAGCAGTTTAAGGTGGGACTCCAGAGGGGCACCTGTGTGGCTCAGTCAGTAAGCGGCCAACATCAGCTCAGGTCATCATCTCGTGTTTTGTGGGTTCAAGCCCCGAGTCAGGCTCTGTGCTGACAGCTCTGAGCCTGAAGCCTGCTTCGGATTCTGTGTCTCCCTCTCTCTCTGTCCTCCCCTGCTTTCTCTCTGTCTCTGTCTCTCTCCCAAAAATAAGTAAACATTAAAAAAAAAATTTTTTAAAGAGGTGGGACTCCAGAGACTGAAACTGCAGGAGCTGCTTTCAGTAAGCTTCTAAAACTTAGCTTCTCCCTATAGTGATAAAATAGTTAACAACACAAAATGGCAATAAGCCAAAAACAAAACCAAGAGGTAAACATGGCACTTGTATAATGATATTCAAAAGAGAAGATTAAACATCCTATCCACAAATGGAGGCACGAGATAAATTTAAAAGCTTAAAATTGATCTACCTAAATGCACAGGATGGTGAGAAGCGTGGCTGTCTCTGACTTTTTAAGGCACGTAGTTTGTCTCCCTGGGTTATACTATTTTTCACTTCCACGTCTTCATCCTCTTCTAAGTTATTCTGGAAAAAAAATGTATGTACCATAGAAAGGTTACTCTAAATAATTTTGCTTTATATTGATTTCTTAATAGACTATAGACTCTATATTTCATATAGCTGATCTTAATATAGATTATCTTAAATAGCTTTAAAACACAGTGAGTTCAGCATTATCTATCTATCTATAGAAAGAGATAGATATATAGATATAGATATAGATATAGATACAGATATAGATATAGATATAGATTAGATATAGATAGATATAGATACACTAACAAATGTTCAACTATTCATCAATTAAATATATCGGTCAAATTCCAAATCAAAGAAGCACAGGTATGGATGCAGCAGAATTTAAAAGGAGCTCCTTGTTACAATGGACCACAACCAAAGAGAATCTCATGCACACAAAAATCATGTTTTGGAATATAGCTCAGACACAGACTGGCTCAATAGACACATTACAAATAGGTTTCCAGAGATTACTAGGATCCATCACTGCAAATTCTATAATTTATTTACAAAAATGAAAGATAAAACAATTTAGGATATCTATGCGATAACGTGTTAAGATCAATTAACACTAATAAAAGCATCCAATACCTTTTGAGAAGGAGTTAAAGCCTACTAGATTGGGAAAGTGTGTTTCCTGCTGAAATAAGTCTTACAGTTTAAAATATGTAAGTTCCACGCTAGGTCTTTTCACATGCCAGCTCACATTTAACTCTCACAACTCAAGGCGGGGAGGACACTATTACCTATAAAGATTTAAAAAAGGAGGTACTCAAGGCACGTGGGTGGCCCAGTCAATTAAGTGTCCGACTTCAGCTCAGGTCATGATCTCACGGTCAATGAGTTTGAGCCCTGCATCCAGCTCTGTGCTGACAGCTCAGAGTGTGGAGTCCACTTTGGATTCTGTCTCTCTGTCTCTCTCTCTGTCCTTCCCCCACTCATGCTGTCGCTCTCTCTCTCTCCCAAAAATAAATAAACATTCAAAAAAAATTTTTTCATAGTATTTCCTGATAATTGCTTGTATTTCTGAGGGATTGGTTTTAATAATTCCATTTTCATTCATGAATTTATCTAGTTGGGTCATCTCCCTTTTCTTTTTGAGAAGCCTGGCTAGAGGTTTATCAATTTTGTTTGTTTTTTAAAAAAAACCAACACTTGGTTTCATTGATCGGCTCTACAGTTTTTTTAGATTCTATATTGTTTATTTCTGCTCTGATCTTTATTATTTCTCTTCTTCTGCTAGGTTTGGGGTGTTCTGCCTCTAGTTCCTTTAGGTGTGTTGTTAGATTTTGTATTTGGGATTTTTCTTGTTTCTTGAGAGAGGCCTGGATTGCAATGCATTTTCCTCTCAGTACTGCTTTTGCTGCATCCCAAAGCATTTGGATTGTTGTATTTTCATTTTAATTTGTTTCCATATATTTTTTAATTTCTTCTCTAATTGCCTGGTTGACCCATTCATACTTTAGTAGGGTGTTCTTGAACCTCCATGCTTTTGGAGGTTTTCCAAGACTTTTTCCTGTGGTTGATTTCAAGCTTCATAGCATTGTGGTCTGAAAGTATGCATGGTATGATCTCCATTCTTATATAGTTATGAAGGGCTGTTTTGTGACCCAGTATGTGATCTATCTTGGAGAAGGTTCCATGTGCACTCGAGAAGAAAGTATATTCTGTTGCTTTGGAATGCAGAGTTCTAAATATATATGTGAAGTCCATCTGATCCAATGTTTCAAGGCCCTTGTTTCTTTATTGATCCTGTGTCTAGATGATCTATCCATTGTTGTCAGTGGAGTATTAAAGTCCCCTGCAATTACCACATTCTTATGAATAAGGTTGCTTATGTTTGTGATTGTTTTATATATTTGGGGGCTCCTGTATTCAGCACATAGACATTTATAATTGTTAGCTCTTCCTGATGGATAGACCCTGTAATTATTATATAATGCCTTTCTTCATCTCTTATTACAGCCTTTAATTTATAGTCTAGTTTGTCTGATATAAGTATGGCTACTCCAGCTTTCTTTTGACTTCCAGTGGCATGATAGATAGTTCTCCATCCCCTCACTTTCAATCTGAAGGTGTCCTCAGGTCTAAAATCAGTCTCTTGTAGACAGCAAATAGATGGGTCTTGTTTTTTTATTCATTCTGATACCCTATGTCTTTTAGTTGGAGCATTTAGTCTAGTTACATTCAGTGTTATTATAGAAAGATATGAGTTTAGAGTCATTGTGATGTCTGTAGGTTTCATGCTTGTCGTGATGTCTCTGGTACTTTGTGGTCCTTGCAACATTTCACTCACAGAATCCCCCTTAGGATCTCTTGTAGGGCTGGTTTAGTGGTGATGAATTCCTTCAGTTTTTGTTTGTTTGGGAAGATCTTTATCTCTCCTTCTATTCTAAATGACAGACTTGCTGGATAAAGGATTCTTAGCTGCATAATTTTACTGTTCATCACACTGAAGATTTCCTGCCATTCCTTTCTGGCCTGCCAAGTTTCAGTAGATAGGTCTACACTAGTCTTATCAGTCTCCCTTTATATGTTAGAGCATGTTTATCCGTAGCTGCTTTCAGAATTTTCTCTTTATCCTTGTATTTTGCCAGTTTCACTATATGTCATACAGAAGATTGATTCAAGTTATGTCTGACGGGAGTTCTCTGTGCCTCTTGGATTCCAATGCCTTTTTCCTTCCCCAGATCCAGGGAAGTTCTCAGCTATGATTTGTTCAAGTACACCTTCAGCCCCTTTCTCTCTCTCTTCCTCTTCTGGAATTCCTATTATACAGATATTGTTCCGTTTCATTGCATCACTTAGTTCTCTAAGTCTCCCCTCATACTCCTGGATTTTTTTATCTCTCTTTTTCTCAGCTGCCTCTTTTTCCATAATTTTATCTTCTAATTCACCTATTCTCACCTCTGCCTCTTCACTCCAAGCCGTGGTCACCTCCATTTTATTTTGCAGCTCATTTATAGCATTTTTTAGCTCCTCATGACTATTTCTTAGTCCCTTGATCATTGTAGCAATAGATTCTCTGCTGTTGTCTAAACTTTTTTCAAGCCCAGCAATTAATTTTATGACTATTATTCTAAATTCTTGTTCCGTTATATTGCTTAAATCATTTTTTGATCAATTCGTCAGCTGTCGCTACTTCCTGGAGTTTCTTTTGAGGAGAATTCTTCCATTTCGTCATTTTGGATAGTCCCTGGGGTTGCACGGAACTGCAGGGCACTTTCCCTGTGCTGTCTGGAGTAACTTGTGTTAGTGGGCGGGGCAGCAGTCAGACCTGATGTCTGTCCCCAGCCCACCGCTGGGGCCACAGTCAGACTGGTGTGTACCTTATATTCCCCTCTCCCAGGGGCAGGACTCACTGTGGAGTGGTGTGGCCCCTGTCTGGGCTACTTGCACACTGCCAGGCTTGTGGTGCTACTCTGATGGGATCTGGCTTATTAGCCGGGGTGGATCCGCAAGGTGCAAAGGGGTGGGAGGGGCAGGCTTAGCTAGCTTTGCTGTCAGTGGTCCCCTGCGGGAGGGGTCCTGCAGCACCGCGAGGGAGGCAGACCCATCAGAGGGATGGATCCACAGAAGCACAGCGTTGGGTGTTTGCACGGTGCAAGCAAGTTCAGTGATGGGAACTGGTTCTCTTTGGGATTTCGGCTGTGGGATGGGACAGGGAAATGGCGCTGGCCAGCGCCTTTGTTCACCGCCGAACTGAGCTCTGTCTTCCAGGGCTCAACACCTCTCCCTCCCAGTGTCCTCTCACCCTCCCGCTCTCCGAGCAGAGCTGTTGACTTTTAACATTCCAGATGTTAAGCCCTGCTGGCTGTCAGAACTCCCACAGTCGGCCCCTCCACTTTTGCAAGCCAGACTCGGGGATTCCGCCTTGCCAGGCAGGCTACCCCTCCACCGCCCCAGCTCCCTCCCACCAGTCTGAGTAGCGCACACTGTCTTTCCACCCTTCCTACCCTCTTCCGTGGGCCTCTTGTCTACTCTTGGCTCTGGAGAGTCTGTTCTGCTAGTCTTCTGGCGGTTTTCTGGGTTATTTAGGCAGATGTGGGTGGACTCTAAGAGATCAGCAGGACGCAGCGAGCCCAGCGTCCTCGTACCCCACCATCTTCTCTACTCGCAATGTTGGTTTTTTTAAAAAGAATTAGTTTTTTGAAAAAACAAACAAAATTGATAAACCTCTAGCCAGGCTTCTCAAAAAGAAAAGAGAGATGACACAACTAGATAAAATCATGAATCAAAATGGAATTATTACAACCAATCCCTCAGAAATACAAGCAATTATCAGGGAATACTATGAAAAATTATATCCCAACAAACTGGACAACCCGGAAGAAATGGACAAATTCCTAAGCACCCACACGCTTCCAAAACTCAAACAGGAAGAAATAGAAAACTTGAACAGACCCATAACCAGCGAAGAAATTGAATCAGTTATCAAAAATCTCCCAACAAATAAGAGTAGACAACCAGATGGCTTCCCAGGGGAATTCTACCAGACATTTAAAGCAGAGATAATACCTATCCTTCTCAAGCTGTTCCAAAAAATAGAAAGGGAAGGAAAACTTCCAGACTCATTCTATGAAGCCAGCATTACTTTGATTCCTAAACCAGACAGAGACCCAGCAAAAAAAGAGAAATACAGAACTACAATATCCTTGATGAATATGGATGCAAACATTCTCAGTAAGATACTAGCAAATCGAATTCAACAGCATGTAAAAAGAACTATTCACCATGATCAAGTGGGATTCATTCCTGGGATGCAGGGCTGATTCAACATTCACAAATCAACCAATGTGATACATCACATTAATAAAAAAAAAAAAGATAACCATATGATCCTGTCAATCGATGCAGAAAAAGCAATTTCTGACAAAATTCAGCATCACTTCTTAATAAAAACCCTCGAGAAAGTCGGGGTAGAAGGAACATACTTAAACATCATAAAAGCCATTTATGAAAAGCCCACAGCTAATATCATCCTCAATGGGGAAAAACTGAGAGCT